TGCAGATCAATGTTTTTTGCCTAAAGTAGAAAGTTTCTAAATATTTTTGATATGGTTTTAAATTTTTTTTTCCTAGGAAAAATGGGACAGCATGACAAGAAAGTGGAGGGATAACAAATCATTGGTACAAATGGTTCGACTGTTTCTCATTGATGAGGTAATAAAATATTGCATGCATATAATCAAATCAAATATGAAGGAACTTAGAGTCTGTTATAATGTTGCATTTGGAAGATTGTTTGGATATCTAAAGGACTGTAGTGCTAATTCCATGTTCATTACAATCTACTTGTATATCAACTCGTTTTTGAGTTTTCAACAAAATCTTATGTCATAGCAAACATCAAATCGAACCTGTGTAATTCTGATGTGTGGTGGAAGTCAGCACATTTTCAACATTGGGATAAGTTGGTGTACTAGTACTGTAGAATACTTTATTTTTGCTTGGAATTAATTTTCGCAATTTTCGCTGAAAGAATGATTCATTGAAAATAAAATCCAGTGAATATACCCTTGTTCCTATATTTTACATTCAACTCGTCAAAAATCAGTGAAAATAAATTCCATACAAAACACCCAAATGTCTTTTCAGTGAAAATTAATTCCAGCTATAATAAGTAGTTTACAGTAATTAAGTTTGTTATGTCCTAGCTATGTATGATAATAAATGATTTCATGTTGTTATTTGACAACAAAACATACATTCATATTTTTACCTGTGAATCAATACATTTTTGTGTATTAATTTGATTGTACATTCAGCGTGATATATTATTGTACATTGTCTGTTTTTCTGACAGGTACATACTTTAAATGATGAAGCACGTGGTGCTACTATGGAAGCAGTGATAAGTCGAATGAAAACAATCCAAACAGCACTAAAAGAGAACCAGTCATTGGCAAAACACAGTAAACTTAGATTCCTGGCTATATCAGCAACTATAACAAACATTTGTGATGTAAGTTAACAGTAAATGGTGAGATGGTGATTATCACACTGATGTTGACAATTCATGTATTTTAATTGTAACTGTCAGCAGTTGAAAGGTTATACTCGATTTTGTTTTAGAACTTTGCTACCTTTTACTTTAGCTGCCAAATTTTTGTTCTAGTGCAAAAGATAGTCACTTCCTAAAGTAATATCTCAATGATACAGTTGACTTTATAGAAATTATTATGATTATTTTGTCCCATTTAGATAGGAGAGTGGTTAGGAGAAGTTAGTGAGCCAGCTGTTATGCACAAGTAAGCAAGTAATATTAGATAGAACATGTTTTTGTCATGTTTGTGGTCGAAATAGTTGTTGTAAAACTATTGTAAAAAATATCTAGAGCCAGTGAACATTGCACACTGCCAATAACATTACTTTTTTTAAAATAGTATCTAACACTATAGCCCCACTACTTAGGATGAGTTTATGGTTCAGACTCAACATAACTCGACCCATCATTGCAAGTTAAGTTATTCTTTAAGGGATTTAATGCAGGCATAATTATGATAATTGAGAATCTATGTCATGATTCCTTGAGTCGATTGAGACATGATGTAAAAAGAAGTACTAGCTATTTAATGGGCTATTACTGTAAGTTTATAATATGAAATGATACAGAAAATGATAGTTTCAGTAACAAAAAAATACAGTGGTACTAAAA